CTTGTTGCACTCGTCACCCCGTCCATCTCCTCACTCTTTCATCGTTCCACAGATCGACCGTTGGAATCGGCCTCCGGATTTCCGTTGCACGAATTCGGACATTTGCACCAGCCACCGATTTCCGTTTCTCCCGGACCCACACTCAATCTTCTCGGTCCCGGTTCGAACGCATTTGATGCGCATCCCGGTCCGTCCAGTCTGAGCACACTATTGGTAAGTGATGTTTCTGTGGTATTCGAAAACTTCCATTATGGTCCGGTGGTTGCGTCTTGTGCACAATATTCAGACCGGTGAACCCTTTACGAGGCACAAGTTCTATATGAAATACGCGAATCGTTTTTATCACGGCTTCATATAATGATCATTCAGGCGGTGGTGGGGTGTGTTGCTGCTTTTCCTTGGCAGGTCGACCCACTATCCGGACATGGAAAGTGATGAATTACACCCCGAAACCTAGGGTAACCGTTTGCATAAGGTCCCAGTGTGATTGATGGACGTTATATTGTGCCGAATGACGTTGAAAATGCTTACCGTTAGAGCTGGTTGGTGATGGATGGCATCGTTCGGGTCTCGGATCTTGAGACTCGGCGTACACGAATGATAGCAACTATTCGTACTCGCATTCGCTCATTTGGGCGCTAATCGATGTTTTGCAAACTGTTAGTTTCTTCTAAGGAACTAATACCAGACAAGAAAGGCAAAAAATCGGATGTTGAATCTTGAACCACAACGGTTGGCTTACTGGAATGAAACCTTTCAATTTGCAATACTCATTTCTTTGCGTAAAACAAGGAAAACCATCCGACTGTCCGTGAGTGGGGGAAATATGATCACTGAATGGAACTTTGCAAATGATTTCACCTTTCTCGTTTCGAAATTCACGGGGACCGAACCAGAGTTTGTAGCGTGACTTCCGATCACTTCACTGTCGAATGCGGGGAGGGTGTGTGTGCATCCTGATTGGCATACCAGTGGACCATGACACATGAAACAAACCGTCTCTAATATGGAGTTGTTTATGCTGTTGTGATTTCAGGACTGATAATCGCTGCTATCCTTGAACGAGCAATCGGATGCGATTTCCTTTGATTTCAAAGCATTTCATTAATGAGCGACGTGTTGACTGTACGACAAACACACACACACACACGTGCACAAATTTGACAGAAAATTATTGTTTAGACGGTCTGATCATCTTTCAGACTTTATCTTTCCACACAACTCCCATCCCGTTCAGTCGATCATGTATTCGGGAAGCGGAGAGATTCAAGTTTCACCTTCGGTCGAGTTCCCCGGTCTTGCGTTTTCGCTGTCCGCCCCGGTGATTCAATGTGACAAGATATTGATAGTGACAAATGTCATATTATGCCATCTTGCCGGGTACTTGGTCTCAATGTCATATACTAATTCCTAGTGTCTGTCTTCTTGCTTTTCCTGCACATAGGATGTGGCGCATGTTTCTAATCTACCGATTTGCACAAATTATTTATAAAAATCATGATTTGTGGTAACTTGTCTATCATCAAACACGGGTTTGACCGAGCTGTTTTGTTACTCTGCACACGTCGTTGTTCATTCCCCCGGGAAATGGGGTGATGCCATTGGCTCTTTCACTCGTATACAAGTGCATAATTGGTAGACAAACGATCGGAGTTGTGTCATTTAGTCGTGGTGATCGGATCTGATTATACATGCACAAAGCAATCCATGAATAGTGATGGGGCGGGGTCGTCGCGCATTAGGATCTCACCTGTTCCAAATCATGCTATTGTCTTTCTTTCACTGCCCTCATATATTGTTCCGCTTGATCTGTTTGTTTCTCGTCTGCACACCTGAGCCACTTGATGCTCGTTTTTTATGCAGTCATCATATTGTGCACATGTGCACCCACACCCACACAGTCTGACCTATGGTTGACCCGTTCTAACGTACCCATTGTCCGACTGACCTCTTTTGTTAGTCCAATTGCATTTGGCTAGGATGATCTGCCTCCTTGCCCCCCTCCTCCGCCCGGTTTCCCCGTCCCCACACGAAGCGCGTATTCACAATGGTGAATGTGGATCGTCGAAATAGATGGTGTGAATAATTGTTCGAGGAGTTGTGTGTGTGTGTGTGTGTGTGTGTGTGTGTTGATCGAATCGGTCACTGAAATATCATTTATCCCTGTATGTTTGAGGGACCGCAGAGGTGTGTTCAGCAAATAGGAGCGAAACCAACAGCCTTTTCATGAAATGCAAATGAAGCTGGCTGATCGAAGTATGGCATTCCGATCTGTTCTGGTTACCAAGCTTGTTTGATCATGTTTATATTACTCAACGCGCAACCCC